AGTCAATCAAAGCTAAAACACTGAAAATAGCAAAACAAATGTCAGTATGTAAAAGACTGCAACATTAAAACAAAAAAGGGACTTAAAAAATGTAGACGTAGATTTTTCATATGGAGAAGAAGTCAAGGCAATATAAAGAAACAGAAGACTGGTATAAACTTAGAAAAATCAAGGTAAATATTAAGGTAACCACAAAGGAAGCTAACAATCCTACAAGTCAAAATAAAAAACTAGAAAACTATAAAGACTCAGCACAAAAAATAAACCAAAATGAAAAAGGTGAAAAGAAAATACATAAAGAAAAACGACTCAGCACAGAAAATTAAGTGGAACAAAGAAACTGTGAACAACACTCAAAAAAAGACATCAAAATGACAGCACTAAACTCATACCTATCAATAATTACGGTGAATGTAAATGGACTAAATGCACCAATAAAGAGACAGAGGGGCAGAATGGATGCAAAAACATGATCTGTCTGTATGCTGCCTACAAGAGACACATCTTAGACTTAAAGACACAAACAAACTAAAATTCAAAGGATGGAAAAAATATATCAAGCAAACAACAATCAAAAAAGAGTAGGAGTGGAAGATTAATCTCTGACAGGATAGACTTTAAGCAAAATTCACCACAAAGGATAAGGAAGGACACTATATAATGATTAAAGGGTCAGTACACCAGGAGGACATAACTGTAATAAATATTTATGCACCCAACGACAGGTCTCCAAAATACATGAAACAAACTCTAACAGCACTGAAAAGAGAGATAGACAGCTCTGCAATAGTAGTAGGAGACTTCAACACAGGACTTTCAGTGAAGGACAGAACATCCAGAAAGAAGCCTGGCAAAGACATGGAAGAGCTAAATGCTACAGTTAACCAACTTGATCTCATAGACATATACCAAACACTCCACCCAACAGCAGCCAAGTGTACTTTCTTTTCCAATGCACATGGAACATTCTTCAGAATAGACCACATATCAGGCCATAAAGCAAGCCTTAACAAAATCCAAAGCATTGAAATATTACAAAGCATCTTTTCTGACCATAAAGCCATTAAAGTAGAAATCAGCAACAGAAAAAGCAAGGAAAAAAAGTCAAACACAGGGAAACTGAACGACACCTTGCTCAAAATCTACTGGGTTATAGAAGAAATTAAGGATGGAGTAGAGAAATTCATAGAATCAAATGAGAATGAAAACACATCCCACCAGAACCTTTGGGACACAGCAAAAGCAGTGCTCAGAGGTCAGTTTATAGCAATATATGCACACATCCAAAAAGAAGAAAGGGCCACAATCAAAACATTAAACCTGCAACTGGAACAAGTAGAAAGAGAGCAGCAAAAGTATCCCTGAGGCACCAGAAGAAAAGAAATAATAAGAATTAGAGCAGAATTAAATGAAATAGAGAATAGAAAAATAATTGAAAGAGTTAACAAGACCAAAATCTGGTTCTTTGAAAAGATCAACACAATTGATAAACCATTGGCCAAAATGACAAAAGAAAAACAGGAGAGGAAGCATATAACCCATATAAAAAATGAGATGGGTGATATTACAACAGACCCAACTGAAATTAAAAGAATCATAACAGAATACTATGAAAAATTGTACTGTAAGAAATTTGAAAACCTAGAGGAAATGGATAAATTTTTAGAAACTCAGTACCTGCATAAACTAACACAGTTAGAACAACTAAATAAACCCATAACAAAAGAAGAGATCAGAAAGGTAGTTAAAAAACTCCCAACCAAAAAAAGTCCTGGCCTGGATGGCTTCACTGGAGAATTCTACCAAACTTTCAGAGAAGAGTTAACACCACTACTACTAAAGGTATTTCAGAGCATAGAAAAGTAGA